AAAAAAAAAAAAAAAAAAAAAAAAAAAAAAAACATGTGAAAGTGAAAGTGTACAGGAAAAATGAGGGGCTGCGAAGCAGCCCCATAAGCCCCTAGTTTTTGTTTAATAAAGAGGAGAAGCAGCCTTAGGCTGTGATAGTTTACTACCTATGTGAAAATTACATTTCACTTAAAAATGTAGTTTTCAGACAATAAGCTATCACAGCGTAAGACAATTCTGCATCTCCTTCATATTTATTTCATTAATGCTGTTGTCCGCACGATGTTTGACAATTATGGTTGTTCTTTCAAAATTTTTTTGTTCATTTCTTATAAATGGAAGGCTTTGTCCACACATAGGTAGGTTTACGGAACTATTGTTTCCACTGTTCCCTTTTTTGCTTCTATTTCCGTTTTGGGCTGCCATGTGTATACCTATTTGTGTTTGTTCGTACATGTAGATACACTTGCTCACAGCGGTGAAATCTCTCTCTTTTAAATCTATTCTCCTCAATTTCTTTTATCAGAGAAAAATGCAAAAAAATATTGCAAACTCAGCTCATCAAGCTTTTTCATACATATACTTAAATCAACACTCTTTCCTTGCGCAAATTTTCTGTTTGCGCTCATCACTATTTGCCGTTTTTCAAATATTTGCGCACGTCAGTCTGTCCCGTTTCCTTTAACGCATGCTCTCTCCGTCCGCTTAGTTCTTTCAGGTGTTTGCACTGCATTATCCATCCGTGCTGCGATGCTATAGGGAAGAACGCCTTATGAGCCTTCAGACGTTGCCATGTTTTCTCCTATTAAAACCGACTCTACTGGGTAAATTGCGAATATTATTTTTCAAATTGTTCAGAAAATTTTGTACGCAATTTAATCTAAAACATCTGAAAATTTCACGGAAAAATACGCATAAATGTTGTCAAAAATACATGTTTTTGGAGGGAAGTTTGGCAACTCTTGAATGTTCATACGGCGTTCTTCCTTAGCACGGCAACGTGGCCGGCAATGACTCTAGAATGAGACATCAAAAGGGTCAACGGCCAAACCAGGTGCGAGGTTTATCCTTGCATCTTTCTGCCGTGCGGCCACCAAAAACCGCACAGATCTGCGCGCAATTCCATTCCGAGCTAAGCGATTCTTACCAATAAGAGGAGCACTCTATTTGGGCGGGCATTGGAGGGGAGGGGGCGCATATATTTTGCACTTGCTGAACTTGAGTGCTTCGCGACCTCGTGGGCTTGAACTTGGAGCGGATGAGAGCCTCTCGTCTCCGGAGTGATTTCCTCGTTTCGACGGTGAAACTACCAAACCACGTATCTCGGTTTGCGACGTCGCAGACTTCCTGTGATACTTTATTTTTTAAATGAAAAACTGCTTAACGTCTAGTCTTGAAAATTTCTGTGATTTTTCCTCTTCGTGCGGAGAAAATTCTGTGAAAATTTCAAGGAATGATATTGATTTGGTCTACTTCAAAAAAATTGAATGTGAGCGTAGATTTTTAAACACCGCAAACGAGATACGTGGTTTGGTAGTTTCACCGTCGGTTTGTTTCTTGCTGCCGTGCTGAGGAAGAACGCCGTAAAGACACCCGAATGTTGCCATATTTCCCCCGATAAAATATTTATTTTTAAACTAACTTACAAATAATTTCTTTTGGAATTTTTACATATCGACGGTATGAAAGTCGGCAATCACATGACTCGTTTGCGGTGTCTGTAAATCTCCGCCTTCTACGTCATTTTTTTAAAGGAGAACAAATTGACATTATTTCTTGAAGTTTTTGCAGAATTTTCTTCGCATTTGAGAAGAAAAATCATGAAAGTTTTAAAGAATTGCCGTTGAGTAGTTTTCCATTTAAAAAATAAAATATGACAGGAAGTCTGGGACGTCGCAAACCGAACTATGTGATTGCCGACTTACACCGTCGATATAATAGATTAAATTGC